GGTAACCTTACGTTGTCAGTTCTCCATATGAGACCTGTTTCAACGCGGCATATGGCGGACTTCAGGATAGCTCTGACCCGAGTGTCCGCTTCACTCTCTATAGGGAGTGCGGCTCTGACACCGAAATTCTCGGTCTTGAAGAAGTCAGCTACCATATTGTGGAGAGACTGATCAGCTTGGCGGTTCATAAACAAACACGATGCTGGAGATGGTAGGGTAGTTGAAGTTGGGCCAAACACCACCCATCCCAACTCCGTATTGGCAATAAATGAACCATGCGGGTTTACCTTCATAGTTGTCGATGGCAATCCAAAATGGCAATGATCAAGACCAATCAAGAGTCTGGGCCTGACCTGGGCATAAGGTTGTACTGGAAGCCGGCTTACATGTTAAAGTTGTGATTAAACTCTGTAGAGGAAGCTGCAAGTTTGATACAGCATACACATTGCGGAGTTTGTGTTGTTTCTGCATACCGACACCACTAATAAGCAAGTCTTCCACAAAGGTTGACTCCTGCGCGGCATGTTCTCCAAACCACTGAACATTCAAATGTTGCTCACATCCACGCATCCCCAAGTCTCGAACAAGAGCACTGTCTGTCATTGTGATGGATGAACATTCGTCCAGGAGTGCGTAAGTGTCCACACGCCCTTGGTTTCCGTACAGGGTTACCGGCAAAATACGGAACAGAAGCTTACTATCAGTGGAACTGCAACTTAAGACTGCTGGTCCCGCATCTTTTGATGGTTGCTGGCTGTCGAGTGTATGCTGCGTTGATGTAGGCCTACGATTTGCTTGGGTATACGCAGGAGAGAAAGGCGTGGTTGATTGACTTTACGAATTTGTAGTATTCCTCACGGGTTCATGTAGGAGCTTATGATGCACTCTCCGGCAACCTTCAATTGAACATAGCTTGCGACGTTGGCAATTTCATGTATTGTGACCCGAATTGAGACAAGCAAAACACAAGCGATGTCGTTTCGCCTCTATCCATCTGTTTGGCACTGAATATTCTTGAAAACGCACACACTCTGCTGGCTTATGCTGCCCCTGACAAATTGGACATCTCATTGATCGTTGCTGCCGTACTGTGTGCAGAACCGGGCGGTACTTCCATTCCTTGGACGAAGTATCAACACAAACCGTACAAATTATATTGGCTAATTTCGATAACCATTCACTGAAATGTTTCATTGTTGCATATAGCTGTAGAAGCGCTGCGAAATTTGCCCACTCAACGCGTTTGCTCATAGGCAATTTTGACACAAGTTCGTCGAGTAATGTAGGGTTTGACAAATGTAATTCCCCACCATGTGTAGATTGCAAAAAGATATAGATGTTACATACATTTGTTGCAAATGGTATAATTTTCGACATTGCATTCTCCGAAATAGATCCACTGCGTCGGGCGCCCAAATCTAAATTTTAACAACTCAATTATATTGCCGACATTGTTCGGGTGGATCAGCAGTGACTTGATCGCTTCACGCGCGTAACCCTTCAGGCTGTTTAATACCCGTTGGTTATTTTCGGTTTGCTGTACCCATAAATCGCGGTTGACTCGATGAAAGCCGTATAAAATATTGGTCAATCTTCCGACTGTCCAGAAAAGTCTGGCAAATTCTGCAATTTCCTGAGCAAACTTGATGACTGAGCGGCTGTAGAACTTACATTTATATTGGCGAATGTAGGCATTGTCGTTGAATTAGACTGGATCGAAGGTGTATCCATCCCCAAATGAATTGAACTGTACATGTGGTTTGTAGCAGCTGTACCTATTCCAAAGTTTGGCGGAGTGTAATGGGAATCGGTAGGCTGCGACAACGGTACTGTACAGTTCACTATAGCCGACGAATGTTGTTCCGTTAATTGAACGGTTCCCAATTGTACTGTTGTCCTCAATGTTTGCGATAATGAAACCTCGGCGGCAACATTGTTGTTGGATGTATCCAAATTCGACGCTTCACCACGCGATTGGTGCTCCCTAATATCACACAAACTACTCTCTAGCATGGCAATGCGTTTCTGAAGAGCGGCAATAATAATTTCTTGACGTGCGAAGGCAGCTGATGATCCTCGAGTTATGGCCCCGGTGGCTGTAGGAGCGGCTGGTAAATCACTGGATACATTGGCAGCGGATGCATTACTACCCTGGCTGGGTTTTGATGATGCTCTAGTGGTGGCTTCGATGGCTGTAGGAGCAGCTGGTAAATCAGTGGCTATGTTGGCGGTGGCTGATGCATTGTTATCTTGGCTGGGTTTTGACGATGCTGCAGGTGATGAAGGAGCACTGCCATCCATGCCTGGCGAACTGGTTGAAGTCTGGCGGCGAGGTGACATACGCATCGAAAATTAATTTCACAAACCAAACACGCAAACGTTTGGTCATGAGAAATAAAGAATTTGTCATCGATGAGGTCGGGCGAATTTAACGCGTATTTGGTTTATGGTTTATTTCTAAATACACAAGCATTTAAATTATGCACTTACAAAGAATTATAATATGTTTAACTTACCGCGTGTGTCCTTCCACCTTCCTGGCTGGCTGATCTATGACAAAGCTCGAATATGATTTGCCAGAACTTATATGCACACATATTGTCCATTACCGTACAGATCAGCACAGGAGAATAGGGGAACTGTACACTGCAGTTTACAAACAACAAGCATGTAGATAACTTAACATATGTATTGTAGTTTGTGCCTACCTGTCTATGCGAAGGGAGAATGACATACATATACATTCAAATCGCACAAACAAGAAAACAGAAACTGTATAGCGGGAAATGTATGTATTTAAATGGAGTGTGAGACAATTCAAGAGCATATAAAGAAATTGGAATTGAAAAATACAACTGTAAAATAAGCATTGAAATTAAATATAACATTAGGGTGGGCCCGAATCTACACATACATATACAAGTATATGTCTTTAAATTAGCAAATTAATTATCAAATTTATAAATGGATTGTTATACAGAAAGAAAAATAGTAATATAATAAAATATGTATATTTATTTGTAACACTATTATTTTTAAAATTTGAAATGAAATAGTTTAAAATCCTTTTTATACTCTCGCAACCTGTTGCTACAAAGTATAATAGTTTTGTTCACCTAACGGTTGTTTGTATCACCTAAAACTAATCGAGTTAGATATAGGGTTATGTATATATAAATGATCAGGATGAAGAGACGAGTTGAAATCGGGGTGACTGTCTGTCTGTCCGTCCGTGCAAGCTGTAACTTGAGTAAAAATTGAGATATCTTTATGAAAGATGGGCGTAATCGGACCACTGCCACGCCCACAAAACGCCATTAATCAAAAACAAATAAATTTCCATAACTAAGATCCGCAATAAGATACAAGACTGTTATTTGGTACACAGGATCACATTAGGGAGGGACATATGCAGTTTAAAAAGTGGGCGGTGTCCCGCCTCTAATAGGTTTAATGTGCATATCTCCTAAACCGCTAATGCTATAATAACAAAATTCCCTGGAAGCAAATGCTTTTAGCACTTTTATTGACGGTGTGAAAATAGTTGGAAACGGGTGGCAACTCCGCCCACTCCCCATATAACGGTACTGTTAAAATCTACTAAAAGCGCGATAAATCAAGCACTAAATACGCCAGAGACATTAAATTTTATCTCTGGGATGCTATTACGCCTATTTCCCATATAACACCATTTTCAATTCCATCTGATTCTTTCACTTTCCACTATGCATATCAAGCAACAATGATTATATCGGGGTAAAACTTTGCGTGAATAATACGTTTAAAGTATGCCACCTTGTGACCAAAAATTGTCTAAATCGAACCAAAACTGTTCAAGCCCCTAAGTACTAAATATGTGGACCCCAGTGCCTATAGTTGACCTTGTACCGAATATATAAGCCAATCCACAAAGAAATCTCAAACGAGTATACCATTTGACTTTGCGAGAGTATAAAATGTTCGGTTACATCCGAACTTAGCCCTTCCTTACTTGTTCTAAACTAACTTTGGTCGTCGTTGTAAAAGTAAAAAATGTCTGTAGATTGCTATCACTTTTAATTTAACACTGTTTAATAGCGAATACAGCAGTATTCCGAAATAACGAACACATTAATTGTCAGGCAAGTTCGTTACATCGAATTTTTCGTTAAGTCGAGTACTTACTTAAGTAGGTATGTTTTTCAATATAAATGAGGTAGTCGAAAATTGAAATATTTCTTTAAAAAGGAACCATTCAATGCGTTTATGCATGTTACCTCAAAGGAAGTAGTGTTCTTAAAAATAAATTCATGAGATCAAAGTATTTGTACATACATATATCAGTAATATAAGCTATTGCTATTTAAAAAATATATAAATCGTCGTTTGCTTCGTTGAAAAACGAAGATTACATTTGATGGCTTCTTTCTAAAGTTCAGTCAACAAGTTTTATGAATTCGAGATTTTACTAATTGCCCACTGGATACTTTGTTCGAAAACTTTCGGTATGAAATTTTGTTCAAACCATCCATTCAAATCGCTGACTGAGAAATAAAAATATTTATTTGAAAAGAAAAAATCAAGAATTTTATTCCATTCCTCATTGCCAAAGTATCCTCATCTTGCCTTAAGCATGACGAAAAAGAAAGATAATACTCTTCAATAAAATTACTCTGCTCTTACACTTACTTCTAAAGGAAATAAACACAAAGCATAAAGAAACATTAATATAGTAATTGTTTCTTTTGAGTTATTTTTCATGTCCTGTTTTGTATTCTGATTTCACCACTTTTTTTTCAGCTCTTTCTACATACATACATACGCATGTCTTTTTCATGCTGTTCGTTAAACCGAATACTGACAAATCCCCATTGTTCGTTATTTAAGGTACTTAATATAAAAAATTTGCTTGTTCGTTATAAGCGGGTTTCCTTAAAACGAATATTCGTTATTTCTGTAATAAATTATCACAGAAAAATGTAAAGACAACAGCGAAAATTTGAGCTTGAAGAGAAAAAATTCTTGGCATAAAATATAATGAATTCCACTTAATTACTTGTCTTATGCTGCGACTACATTTCCATCAGAATTAAGTTACCAGATGAGAAAATAAAAGTATAGTGTTTCACAAATGTCCCGAAACATTTAAAGTAATATAAAAACAAGAAAAAACCCCTAATTCCGTTTGCACCGGCAGCTATAATATCATTCACAAAAAAAATATAAGAACTTGATCGGTCAGTTTTTATGTCAGCTGTATGCTTTAGTGGTCCAATATCGGTGATTCTGACAATGTTCAGCTAGTTCGAGTATATACATACATATGGACAGACAGACGTACATGACTAAATCGACTCAGCTCATCACCCTGATCATTTATATATATATATTTTATAGGGTCTCTGACGTTTCCTTCTGGGTGATGCAAACTTAATATACCCAATTCAGGGTATAAAAATAGTTCTGCAATAATAGCAGATGCAACGAAACCAATATAAGGTTTTATATTCTTCAAAGTTTATGAAACGTAAAGATCTTATTTATGTGTGTTTTCGCAGTTATGCCGGTTTAGAAGGCTGTAATCTTTAAAATTTATACAAATAACCTTTATAATTATTAGTCCTATTTACAATACTACTTACGTACACTCGTGCCCCCCAAAAACTCGTCGTTTTTGATTCTACATAAGCTTTCATTGGAATACCACTTCCATTGGAATATTTCAGGGCGATTAGATACATACTCTGGTTGTGCACATAAAGTGGTTGAGAGTAAAAGAGTCAGTTAACAAAATAGTAGTTAGCATATCCGTTATTAATAATAACGGATTCGTTATTAATAATAACGGATTGTAAAGTAAAAAATACTTAATTTATGTAAATTAAGTTAATGTATGTAATGCTACGGTTATTAAATGAGTAAATGTTGCAAAAAGATATAATTGAAAAAAGACATGGTCCTAGTAAAACAGTGTGTGGAAAAATCAATATATTCCCATAACATCCAAGAGTGACAACAATAATATAAATATGAAAAAATGTAACTAATACAAAAATAAATTAAACAACTGAAATAAAATATAAAACAAAGTGCGATTGATGAAAATAAGTGAAAACAACAATATCAAATCAATTCGCAATTAAAAATTAGATCTCGGTACCTACTCCTACATATATACATACATACAAATATAAAAAATTCATATAAAATCTGAATTCAGATGACTATGAACGCAGCTCGCATAATGATATCAATGTTTAATATAAATGTAATATAATCATGCCAATCGAAGAATATTATCAAATAAATCTTAACAAAATAAACAGATAATTGTTTATATGCAAAAATCAAAGGATATATCCAATTGTACCGTTAAGCTGGATATTTCAACCGTCTATTTTTTCTGCGCATTGAATGTTTCGTAATCACATTTTGATGGGCGTCGCGATCAGTCCCGAAACACGTCTTCTGCGACAAACCGCGGAAGCCGCCATACTCCTCCTAATTTTTACTCAGAATGTCTCACACATCAGCTGCGATTCCAAGGTTATCAACACTACAGTCGACGACGGTTATGCAAGTTGGGCTGCCACACAGACAACAGGTGTATTTGGCAGCCCATTCACAACAGCAACAGTAGACCTCGATACGCATCGCTTGGAAAAACGAATGGATTTGGAACTATGTTTGGGTAAATAAAGTAACAAACAACGAACATACATAAGCACATACTACATGAAGTGTTTTGATAGCGTGACGTTGATTTTAGGTATAGAATACCATTGTTTGATTTAAAATTGAAATTGAACGGCTGAGCGCTTCTTTACGCGTTTGAACTGGGGGCTTTTTATTCATTCCGATTTCTCATTGGTTGAATATTTGATGGGGCTTCTTATAATTTCCAATTGTAGTTTATTACTATGCATTTAATTGCTGGATTGTTCATTTGTATCTGCACTATTTGTATGATATATTTATATGACTTTACCAGGCAATCATTTAGTTTGCCTACTGAATGCCATTTATTCCGTCTGACTTCTAACTTTTTCAATATTTTTTCATTGTACGATCTATCGGACATCACGTCATAAAAAATATGCGCATGCAAGCTCTACTAAATGTTGTAGATTCAGTGTGGATTGCTGTAACAATAACAGCATATCTACCGTAGATATGCGAACCAGTTTCATACACCTACTTTTTTATTATTTTAAAAGAAAGTTTGACTTCCAAAGGATTTGCGGATTAACTGGCTTATTTCCAAAAGCATGTATGAGCTTTAGATGTACCAAGAGAGTTGCTTATTTCTTTCTTTGTTATTTTTTAAAACGAACGCACTTTGCTAATTATGTTGGAATAACTAACGTAACACTTCCCATTATTGTTGCGTTTCTGACTTTTTTACTCTTCAAGGTGCGTTCCAAAGTAAACAGTAAAAAAGTAACAAAGTAAACTCTAGTGGCGCCATCTATATGTCTAGGGCGTTAGAATCTGCTATCCTTTATCGACCTCCAGTAAAAATTTCATGACATTTCATCTATTGCAAGTGAAGTTATTGCGTTTTAAGTGTCAGTATGTTTTTGTCATCGGTGCGAAAATGAGCTTCGAACAAAGAGCCAACCTTAAATTTTGTTTTAAAATTGGTAAAACTTTTACCGAAACGTTTCAATTGATGAAACATGTTTATGGCGATGATTGCCTATCCCGTAGCAGAGTGCACGAGTGGTTTCAACGTTTTCAAAGTGGTCGTGAGGACATAAATGAGAAATGAGCCCAAACCCAAAAAATCGCGCCTGAAGAAGTCAAAAGTGAACACAATGCTGATTTGTTTTTATGATTCCAAGGGTATTGTCCACAAATAATTTGTTCCACCCGGCCAAAACATTAATGCGGTATTCTACCTTGGAGTTTTGAAGCGTTTGGTGCGCCGTATTCGACGTGTTCGGCTCGAATATCGCGAAGATGGAAGTTGGTGTTTGTTGCACGATAATGCGCGGTCTCATCGATCGACGCTTGTGGCCGATTATTTTACCAAAACTCACATTTTAACAATCAACCACTCCTCGTATTCACCTGATATGGCACCGTGTGACTTCTACCTTTTCGGAAAAATGCATTTGCCGATGAAAAGAAAGCGTTATGCAGACGTGGAGGCCATTCAAAAGGCTTGCACCGGCATACTGGCGGCCATATCGGTCAACGAGCTAAAACACTCGTTCGACATGCTTTTGGACCGTGCAAAAAGCTGTATTAAAGGAAGGAGACTATTTTGAATAAAATTAATTGATTTTGCCGATAAAATTTGTTCTGTCTTTTTTTTAAAAGTCCTGTTTACTTTGGAACGCACCTTGTAATTATGTTTAAAAGTCATTGCCTTCTATGATAAATTTGACCGAACTTTACATTTACATATACATGTGTTAGTGTCCGACCGTTTCTCAATTTACTGAACTAACTGTATTTAATATACATACTTCAAAATAACTATAAAAGAAAACAAGTAAGGGAGGCAAAGTTCAGGTGTTACCGAACATTTTATACTCTTGCAATGTGGTAGGCCGAAAGAAGGTAAAATATTAAAAATGTTGCAAATGTGAATAAATTACAATCATATTTAATAAGATACTTATACTAGAGGCCATAGTCATTAGTTTCTATATTACATTTTGCCGAAATAATTAAATCGAGATTAACCTAATTAACTCAAATGTGTTATGTCATATAAACTCAACCAAACGTGCTAATAAGTCTGAAATTCTTATATTAAATACATATGTTAATGGAGACCAGCGGAAGTATTGGCTTGATTTAATCCATTTTTGACATCATGACAATATATGAAAACTGTAAGGACAGAATTTTTTTTTCAAAACAGTGCTATTATCTTCAACCAATAAAAACATATATGTACATATGTAGTTCTTAATAATTAAGTAGGACCGCTTTTACAAGTGGATACGTAAATTGTTAACGCTGAATCAAAAAGAGATTTATGAAAACGCCACCAAACGTGAATATTTCCTGTGAACGACATGCATACTCTTTTTAAATTTTTTTATCCTCGGAGTTTCCTTAATATATTTGTTACAAATGTTACTTGAGTAGCTACGGCATAAACAATCGGACATATAGACAGACATATCTAAATCAATATTCATATTTGTACTTAAACTTAAAAATGTTTCTACACATACATACAAAGAAAAAGTATACACGAATGAAACTTCCTCAAATATTACTATTCTTATTTAACAATCCAACTTTTTCTTCAAGGCAAATATGAAATCCACAAAAACACTATTATTCGCACAGGCGAATCACAAACACTTGGTGGCAAGTACTTGCAAGGTCTTGAGCTCGACACCACTGAGGAATGTCAACGTCTCTGTTGTGAAACGGAATCCTGTGACGTATACGTCTTCGAAGATAAAAGTGACGGCTATTGTTACCTTTTCGAGTGTGGTCCACCCGAGAATTTTCATTGTAAATTCACTCGCCATACTAATTATACCAGTGCTGTGCTGACTGCACACAATTTGAATGAAAATACTACAAAGGCTCCAAGTGCAACACAAGTGATTGGTACCAACAATTTTTCGCAACAAGAGTGGGAATTGACACGGTTAAAAGTAAAACCTGAAACGCATCATAAAATGACTTCTGGAGCAGTTGGATCAGGAAAGGTGCCTGCCAGCATGTCCGCGGTATATATGGTAGGACCTTCCGCTACAGCCACTCCTAGCGGAAAATCGAATGTATTGGCAACAGCGACAGACCGAATACCACCAATGACCGCAGCTTTTTCACAAAATGGTGTGTATACTATATGTATAACGTTGCATAGATATATACAAATGGTTTCTTTTAATTTTTACTAGTATATCCTACTTATTGTGGACGATTTCAGTTCCTCTGTCATTCCGGTGAATGTATTGCTGTCTATAATGCCTGTGATGGTATACCACAATGCGAAGATGGTAGTGACGAGGGGCCGGAAGTAAGTTTTCAATAACTATTCAAATTTTTTTTAAAATTATGTTTGTTGCATCTCTCTTTGGTATAAATGATTAGTGCTCAGGTGCTACCCCAACATCAAACTCGAATGCTTTCGCTGGTTCCGCGATCGATGTAGAAAGTGAAGGCCAAAAGGTAGTTTTCTTGGTTCTCATTATAAACGAATATTACCAACTTAACCTTTTAAATTTTTACATGTTGCCTCGGTACCCCAATATCAGCCACCTCATTTACAACAAGTCACAAAAACACAATTAGAATCTATATCACAACCACGTCAACGACAACAGAAGCAGGCGCAGCAGATAGCTCAACAAAACCTGCCCAGGGTTGTACCCCCGCTGATAAATAATCGTGAGGATGCTGCGGCTTGGGAAACTCGAAAAGCGGTTACTCCTCGTCCGGAAGAGCAAGCAATAAATGATGGTATGTATTTGTACATTCTACGTATACAGGATTACTTTGAATGTTTATAGAATACTACTGATATTATTATGAAAATCGAATCTGCAATGAATGAAAACTGACTCAGTAGTCAAATATCTAAACTTTTTCAGTTCTTTAAAAGAAGTCTTAAATAAAAGAAATAAAAAACCCGTGTTGTAATCCAACATTTGTATATCTTAATTTATCTCATCTCATAAAGCAAATCCCATCCAATTAAAGACGTTCCACATAGTCTAAAGATTTCAAGTAATTTGTACAATCCTGTCACAGACATAAGCAATAATTTCTTCTTTTTTTTGGCTGTTATTAGTGTTCCTGGTACTACTTTACCAACTATATCGTAATTCAAAATGAGAGTCGGCGTTGTTGTTCGGGAGATTTCAATCGGAATTCGACTCATAGATGACAACAGAAATCCCTCTTTCTATACTTAAAACAAAAAATTTACCATCTTTACCATCCCAAATTTAATTAAAAATTCTGGTCCAACTTTTTACGAAAAAGAAATCTTTTCGATACAACTTTTTCAGGTAATCAAGTCGTTGACGCGTTGTTGGGCGAGTATGCAAGGGTTTAACTGTAGGTCATACTGTCTCTAATATGTACTTATGGTATAATGTACTTATTTGCTTTGAGGTTCGTAATTCGTACCTTGACCATCAGTCTTATACTCATCACTGTAAATTTTGGCTTAGTTCTGAGATGTCCATATATACAAATACATACATATGTATATATGTTTAATATTTTTACCATAATGCCCATTAAGCTAAGCACTAATTGTTTTAATTTTCAAAGTGTATTTATTTATTAATATCGTAATTTGTAATTTTTCCAGGTTGTTCGGTTATAGAAGTTTTGTGGGTGTAATTTTTATACTCACGCAACATATTGCTTCAGAGCATAATAGCTTTGTTCATGATCCAAAAATCAAATCAGGTCAAATATTATCGGTCCACAGTGTAAAAATGGGCGAAATCGGATTATGACCCCACCCAAAAATCGGGTTAATAACTCTAGCCCCCATATACCCAATGTAAAGATTCTCGATGCTTCGGTTGACTTTGTACGGTATATACCGGTGAAAATGAGAGTTATCTTAGAAATACTAAAACAGCATCTCCATCTAACAGTTTGGCCTATGCCTAAAATGGATAAAATCGGGTCAATACTACCTCTAGCCCCCTATACTCTATATAAGGATTTCTAACTTCCGGTTGCCTTTATACCGTATATATCGGTAAATTTTTAAGATAAAATTATGTGAACGTATAATATTGGTTATATTATAGTTTAATGTAGAAAATGGTGAAAATGGAATAAAATTGGTGAACGAATTACGCCAGTCACCATATACTACATATAGTAATTTTCATTATTTTAGCACACTTTATGCCACATATTTCAGTGTGTGTTCTCTTCATAAAATTTCATAGAAACATATCCCCGAATATACTTCATTAATTTCACAAGTTAACCCTGTCAGTCCAGACCTTCTCCTAGCTCTAATACACTCGATATGATGACTTCCGACTTTCCAACTGACTTTCAATTCAATTTTTGTGGTATTTCCAAGTTTTCATAAACATAGGGCTGAATATGAATGAAATTGGTCTAAGCCCCTTATTCCCATTAAACTGATTTTCGTTTCACTGTTTGACTTTTTTCTCATTACTCAATATATCAAATTTAGCCTTTTGGTTGAGTTTACATCTAGTTTGAGTTTACTCAGTTGATTTTTAAACCAATATCTCAGATATGATGCAAAATATAGCAATGAGACTAAGTGACTCTATGACCTATAATATATTTTAATAATATACCAAACATGATTGTAATCCTTTCACCCCTTCGTCGAATAATGAATATTGAATTCTTTTGCAACATACTTTAATATCTAGTCTTATATAAATACCTAAAAGTATATCTCCGGCTTTGATCTTTCCGATAATATAAAATGTTATATTCGAACTTAGCCCTTCCTTTCCTTTTTCATTACATATGTATGTAAGTATATGTTGCCCAGGTAATACATGCATTTTAATTTAAATTGTATTTGATATACATATATATTTACTAATCATATCGATAGTCTTTTGAGTAAGAGTTTTTTAAGACAGTGCCATATTATGGCCCGAACTTAATTTTATACATGTTAAATTTTTTAAGTTATGGCGTATTGCTTAAATTACTTAAACTCAAACATATAAATTGTGTTTAGAATTCAGACCAAATAGTGCAGAACAAAAATGTATTAAGATAATAAAAACAAACCGTTTTGACTTACATACATATGCATTAAAGCTGTTCCGATAACTACTTATATTATATATGCATATTTCCGTTACATTAAATAAATTGAATTCTTAGTTATATATGTACAATATATACTACATTTGTCAATGCTATCGCCAAACTTTATTAATCGGATTTGTATATAATGACGAAAAATTTCCTGGTCGTATGATTATTTGGGATTTCGTTAAATACACCCTCGCCACTTACATATGTGTATGGTATTATAAAATTCAGCACATGAACATGTAAATTCTTAGTAGTGTCACAATAACACATATCTGTCAATTACCTCTTACAACAGACTCGATAGAAAACATAGATATGGAGTTATGTAGATATAAATGATCAGGTCATGATAAAAATGGGATTTCCTATCCTATTATTGCTGTTTTCCTTTTAGACCTCATTTATTTAATTTAGCTTTGAATGAGGTTATACTACATATTTATCATTTAAAGATGATTTTAATGTAATTTTAGCTGACGCGAAGTAAAACATAGTAATACAACTAAGTGAGTCAATGACCTATAATTTAATTTTATAAAATATATAATTTGATTGTAATCCATTCACGATTTCGTCGAACAATGAATGTTGCAACATTTTTATACTTTTATAGATATAAGTATATATACAATATATATGATCAGAATGAAAAGACGATTTGAAGTCCGGATGACTGTCTGTTCGTCGTCTTTGCAAGTTGTAACTTCTGTAAAAATGTAGATATCTTGATGAAACGTTGCACAACTTCGACGTGACCCTGCCCACTAATAGGTTTAATGTACATAACTCGTAAGCCGCTAAAGCAATAATTACCAAATTTGCTTAGGACAAATTCTTTTAGCACCTCTACCGACAATGTGAAAATGGGTGAATTCGGATTATACTCCGCCCACCCCTCATATAACGGTTTCGTTAAAAACTATTAAAAGTGCAAATCAATAACTACATGCATCAGAAATAATAAATGTTACACCCAAGATGATGATGATGAGCACCACCCACGTTTAGATGAAAACCAATATCTCGAGACCTGCTTCACATTCGGTAGCTAGCATTATTCTGACATTCTTATGTCGCAGTACGAAAATATGCGAAGTCGGACAACAACTACGCCGACTTCTCATATAACACAATTTTTAATACCATTTTATTATTTTACTTTCTAGTCTCATATTGTTAAAGTATATTGCCTTTAAGGTGCGCTAGCTTATGACCAAAAATTGTCCAAATCGGATCAAAGCTATTTAACCCCCAAGACACCTTTAGGGTGTGCCATTTTGTAACCAAAAAGGTACCGGAATATGTGGACCTCAGTTCCTATTGCGAACTTTTTATAGAAAATATCGGCCAATCTCTGAGATATATTATAGAAATTCGAAGATTGAATCGGATCAATAATTCCCTTCCCAATAACAAACACAAGTAACGAAGTTCTAAGTTCGGGTGTAACCGAACATTTTATACTCTCGCAACTTGCAAGGATCAGAGCGTGGGAACAGGCGTGGTTGTAATCCAATTTCGCCCATTTACGTACTATAACATAGAAATATGAGAATAATGTTATGTACCGAAGTTGGTTGAAATCGGTTAAGCAGACCCCTAGATATGGGTTTTCACCTAAAAGTGGGCAGTTACACGCCGACTGTCTAATTTTGAAGTCGGTTCTATAAAATTATCTACCATCCCAAAGATACAATTTAATGTCTCTGGCGTGTTTAGTGCTTGATTTATCGCGCTTTTAGTAGTTTTTAACAGTACCGTTATATAGGGAGTGGGCGGGGTTTTCACACTGTCGATGGAGGTGCTAAAAACATTTGTTGTCAGTGAATTTTGTTATTATAGCTTTAGCGGCTTAGGAGATATGCACATTGAACCTAATACGGAGCGGGACCACACCCACTTTAAAAAAATTTTAACCGCAGCTGCCCTCCCTAATTTGATCCTAATAATACCAAATAACAGTCTTGTATCTTACTCTGCAGCTTAGTTATGGCAATTTATTTGTTTTTGATTAATGGCGTTTTGTGGGCGTGGCAGTGGTCCGATTACGCCCATCTGCAATACCAACCGTCTTATGGTACCAAGAAACATGTGTACCAATTTTATAAAGATATCTCAATTTTTATTCAAGTTACAGCTTGCACAGACGGACGGACAGACAGACAGTCACCCCGATGTCAACTCCTCTCTTCATCCTGTTCATTTGTATAATATATACATAACACTATATCTAACTCGATTAGTGTTAGGTCATAAAACCAACCGTTAGGTGAACAAAACTATTATAATCTGTAGCAACAAGTTGCGAGAGTATAAAAATTATCGCACTTGCGGCTCACTTTATACCGCAAATTTGGTCAATATGTGAGTTATCTTAATGAAACTTAGAGAGCGAGTTTTTCTTATAACAATGAATCTCTGTGATTAAAATGGTTAAAACTTGGTGAAAACTTGCTCTAGCCTAATATAACTAATATCAAAATTTTCATGATCTAGTTGACTTTACTTCTTATATATTGGTGATTGTATGTGAGCTATCTTAATGAATGTGAGTTTATAATATTCAATTTTGATTCTAATCCATTCACGAATTCATCCAATTATGAATGTTGAATTCTTTCGCAACATTTAATATAAAGTTTTTCCAACACCTGAAGGTATTTAGCCGGCTTTGA